AAACATATAAATGATACAACAGTTTGTAGTAACAGAAGCTTTCGAAAAAAATGTGCTGTTCGTCTTCAGCTTCGAGGAATCAAATGTTTTGACAATTTTTTGCTAGAAGACCCTGAATGGCTTGACTTCCAGGCAGTGGCGTAACGTTGCCTGTTGGCGCCCTCCCCCCCCCCCCCCCCCCCCCCCCCCCCCCCCCCGCCGAAAAAGCGCCCCTTCCCTTTTGGTGCCACTCCCTAAAATTGAACAAATTGGGTGATTTTAGAGGATACGCCGGTAAAATCTCTAAAAAAGTGTGTTTCTAGAGCAAAACGCGCAGTTTTGCTAGTACTTTAGTTAAGTTTTTGAAATTGTCCCACATTCAAACGACGATTTGGCGCCCCCCTAAGACGCCCCCAACCCCCCCCCCCCCCCCCCCCCCCCCCCCCCCCCCCCCCCCCCCCCCCCGCACAGCAGGGGTCAGCGGGGCCCTTCGTTACGCCACTGCTTCCAGGTGGAAAGGAAGGTTCCTAGTTTCTGGTGGGAAGAGAAGTTTCAAGTAGGGAGGATGCTTCCTGGTTATTATTAAGCTTTAAAAACTAAATTTCGTTGTGAACTTCCTTTGGTAGTAAAACTTTCCAGTTGGAAGGAAGCTTCCTAGAGGAAGGACAGTGTATATACTTATACTTATATATATTTTGATCAATAAATGCCTAGCAGCACCAGACAGCAGCCGTGTACCTTTTTCGACTCCACGGAGTCCCTGATGGACTTTTGTTTACTTTTGTTAATAATTTGACCGCAACCTTTCTTTCTCGAAACACAAATCCTACTGTACTTCATTACAGTATTAAGATAATATAATATAAAGCAAATCATGTGAATATATGACTACGAAATAGATCTATAGACTTGTCCATAATATTTAATACCGTATTGATGGTTTTGAATTTTGTATATTGAATTTTAATGTGAAGCGTTTACTCTTCCCCCTCGGCAATTAATTAGAAAGTTAGATTAATGACAATAATTGCCAAATGACGTAGTAGATATAGATGTTCAATGTTGTAGAGTGATTTCAAGAGTAGTGGTCCACAGGGGTCCGAAAAAGCCGTACAGGCACTTGGGTTCTTATCCTTGTCACTTCATTGAGTCCCAATTGGATTCACTTTACACAAAACATGAACGTTTACAATTTAGACGTACACATTGGCACGATATTTATTAGAAAGCAAACAGTATAAAATAATACGTGCGTGCGCGGCTTGAGCCGCGCCGCATAACAATTTATGCGTTTAGGGGCTGGAGTACGCGTGTTTACAGATTAATGAATTGTTGCATTGTAAATATTTAAAGTTGACGATATATTATGATTTAATAGTAAATTTTTCAAAGCTGGCTTTGGACTTAGGTAAAATTATAATTTATTTATTTAAAAGAAAAAACCACGGATAGTTTTTAATTTACATAGTCGTATAACTATAATCAAGTTAATCCTGTTTTCAAGAATGCGCGGCTTTGGCGGCCAGTTATTGACTTGTACATAAAATTGAATTTTAAATAGAAATGTGAATGTATTAAAATTTAAAACTTTCAAAACGGAGGCTTATAAATATTATTATATTATGATTGTAAAATAAAGGATAAAATTTTAAATTTGTTTCACTAAAAATTTGTTTCACTATACTCTGTGATACTTACTAAGTTATGTCACTCCTATGTTTTATATATGTTTCACTTACCAATGTGAAAGGTAAACCAAATCGACTAAAAATATCTCTCAACACACGAATTGTGTCCGCTGTTTATAGATGTTCAGAGCTGAAACAAAATAGTTATGATCATGGTATCGTGAGCTTTAAACGCTTCGTTATTGTAAATTTTAATCTTACACAGCTGTTGCACACTCATAAATTACATTAGCTTTTTGCATCAAATTTACTTGTCGATCTTTAAAGTCTGAATAGAAAGCCACACAACAGCAGTGTTTAACATTTTTAGGCACTCTAGTACACACCTGGTCATTTGAATACACACCTGGTCATTTGATTTGAATAACCCAATTAAGTTACTCTTGGTTTAGTCCAGTGGGAGACTTTATTATCAAACTTTACACAAATCCGAAGTAGTAATATAAATACATCCTAGGGATCTGATAAGTCTACGTGAAGAACTCTGAAAACAAACTTAAATATTTAACCCAAAAAATTAAAGTATCAGAAACTAAACAAATTTCTCCAATGGTTTCTGTTCGAGGCTTTATGTCGAAGTTCTGTCAAATCTGTCAAATTACACAAATTAATATTTCTTTTATTTAAATCACTCAAAATGGTTTTGAAAATACTGATCTGATGTCTACCAATTCTCCCTTTCATATTCTCCATACTCTCAACAGTAAAACTCAATGCTAGTTGGGGTGGGGAGTTACAATCACTTCTAAGGATATGACCGAGCATTTTCCAGCGAGACTTAGCAACCCTCTCTGTTAATGGAGTCACCCCACAACGAGCATAAAGGTCTCGGTTACTGATGATTCGAAGATAAGTGGAGTTCATTATCCGCCTCAAATGTTTGCGCTGACACACATCCACTTTCTGAAGGATTTTCTCTGGAGCGGCCCAGCTATTGCAGTTGTACAGCAGTACTGGGATAACAAGGGCCTCGTATAATTTCACTTTGGTGTCCAGTGAAATTCGGGACTTTTCCAGCCAAACTTTGTTGTACTTTTCGAAAGCAACATTAGCTAGGAGACTTTGGGTAAGGAAACTGATTTGGCCCCCAAGAGGGGTCAGATCACGTCACCAATCAGTGACGTATAATTAGTGATGTGATCCATGGATTGAATATAATTGACCTAGAAATGGGCTAGATCATATGACAACTCTGTACATAGAAGCTATAAACTAAGAAGAGAACATGATCTCTCTGCTCGATTCACAGATCACGGTTACTATTTCTCAGGTGGTTCTTGCATATGCATAGGCTAATTGATTGGTTCCCCAATGTCAGCTTCTCTCATTTCCAACGATGCTTCAAGCTTGTATGTTAATTACTTGATGACGTATGTTTGTTTGTTTGTTTGTTTGTTTATAGAACCCGTCCCTAATCTCGTATCAGAAAATGACTAAACTCAGGTCTGAGTGTGAATACGGGCAGGGACAAAAGGATTTCGCGATTATTTTGGCCAAAAATCGCGATATCGCGAATTTTAACAGACTATACATTAAACTATACATAAAATTTGTCGTAAATAATGGAAAAAATCGCGATTTCCTTTTGTCCCTGAATACGGGTGGTACCTGCAAGTGTGTTCATTAAGCATTTAGAGTTCTGTAAAACTGCAGTTACAATTGTGCTAGAGTATTTTTTCCTTTTCACCCTTTTGAAAAAAGGCAATAGTGAAAGGTTACGAATGGACGTTTTTGCAGAAAAACGTGGATTTTGGGGATTGCAGTAGGTGGGTCAAATATATGTCGTGTTGCTTCCGTTCGTTACCATGTCAACTTGCCGCGCGCACGCGCGCGAGGATTGCTTGCGGAGATGTGGTGTATAGCTAGTCTGTGGTCAATGAATGCGCGGCGCTCGAGCGTATTTTAATGTATACTCAATACTAGTAATGTATAATATTTTGTAATAAGCCCAACTTGAACGTGGCACGCGTAGTGTATTGATGTTTCAATATTATTATTATAAGGTGAGCTGATTAGAGCTAATATTAATAGTTATAGTGAAATGGAAATCTAGCGTCCGCCAAGACGAAACAACGGGCGCAATTCTTGTTAGTATATGCGGTCGATATCAGGTCTAAATCCCTACATGCTTCCAAATTTTTTAATCTCCAGCTTTCTGCACAATGCACTGGAATGTATTGAAAAATAAATAAAATAAAATAAAGGGATATTGATTGAAATAAATTTTCGTGCACATACAGAATGAATGGTTAATAATTTAATATATATGTAGACCAAGGTCTGTGCACGGGATGCTTCCTGGAAGAATCCAGTTCTTTTAGCGGGGCACCCTACCTAAAGCCAAATTGAGATATAATAATCATATTCCTAGAGAAATAATCAGAAATCGAATACCAATCAAATAATATGATATATAGGAGTAGTAACCATATTTACTATGCAAAATGCCCCAACCACATAGTGTAAATTTATATAGAATTCAAATTCCATATCATCATTAAACCTCAATAGTCAATATAATAGCCCAGGCAAAATTAAATAACTTCTTATATACCTTACTGTCATACTACAAATTAATTAAACATTTGAAATCTGTTAACCAGAGAATAAATTTCTAAACCTAATGCAAGTGAAATAATTTAGATGCAATAATGAATGCCTAATGTGAGTATCATCTGTCAATGTCCTTGTAAAAAAGTCTGTAAAAGAGATATGAGTAACTTATATAGAAGAAAAAACAGGAAGTTGTCGTCTGTTGAAAAATAAATAAAATATCTAGAATATAAATTAGAATATAAAATAACATTCAGTCAATGTGTCGTCAATAAAATGTACAATTATCAAATGTTAAAACTGGGTGATACAGTCACCAAAAATAAATACTAAGTATAATAAGTAAATAAATTAAATGTGGTCTATAAAACTACCACTAGGTATAATAGGTCAATAAATTAAAAGTGGTTTATAAAACTACCACTGTGCGAACCCTTTCTCCAGTTAAAACATGTCAGTCATGTGCAAAATCAATCAAAATGGTAAGGTGGTAAAAAAAGGAAAATTCTTTCGATACATCAATTATATATGCCTCAGATTTAAAAGAATTAGAAGATACTTAGTTATCGTCGACTATGATTGCAGTGTAAAATTTGTCATATGAATTGTCGACGGTATAATTAGGGTCTGTTGTTATAGATGAGAGTAGCTGTTTCTTATACGAATCACTAAAGCTTTTAACATCGGGCAGATTTCGTAGATCTGTTGGAACATTATTCCAACATTTTGCCCCCAAGTATTGAAAGTTTTTATGTGATGTTGATCTATTAACATATAGGTTGCAGCTTTCGCCGCTCCTACTACCTCCTGATATGTAACTAAATTTGTTCATAAAGTTTGTAGGACAATTGTCATGGATGATTCTAAACATATAATTTGACAGATGGAGTTGTCGTCTAAGATGGAGTGGTAACCATTTCATGTCTCTATAAACATTAAGGCTGCTCTCTGTTTGTGGAACGTTGAGAGCTATTTTGGCTACCTTTTTGTACAGAGTGTCAAGTTCAGCAAGTTTTGTCTTGCCAGCTCTACAATAGATCGTGTCTAAATAATCGAATTGTGGCAACATGAGTGCATTGGCAAACATTTTCCTATATTTAATGGGTAGCAGTGCTTTACTTCTATACATGGCACCAATTCTCTTCATGACCTTCTTAATAATATAATCTACATGGCTTTTGAAGTTTAATTTACTATCTAGAATGAGGCCAAGATATTTTGTCTCTTTGCACTCCTTGATTGTGAAAGTTACCTCATTACATTCAATGGTTAATTCATCATGTTGATCAACAGAATCAAACAATAGGAATTCAGTCTTCTTTTCATTGAGTGATAATTTATTTACACTGAGCCATTTAAAGATTGTCATAAGTTCTATTTTCATGTTTATAAATGTGCTTCTGCAGGTTTGATCAAAGAATAGTGCACCATCATCTGCAAATAGAAAGGGCTTAGATAGGTTACAGGCATAAATGATGTCATTTATGAAGATACTAAATAATATAGGCCCAATGATGCTTCCTTGTGGTACACCACTCAGAACTTCTAAAAATGAGCTTAGTTTGCCATTGATCCTAGTGCATTGATATCTACAAGATAAGAAGTTCTTAAACCAGGTTAAAGCAATGCCACCAATTCCATAATATGCCAATTTTTGAAGCAATATTTCATGATTCACTGTGTCAAAGGCCTTCTTAAGATCAAGAAAGATGATTCCTGGTTTATAAGACTTAGATTTACTCATATATATTTCGTCCATCAGATCGTACATCAAATAAGTTGTGGAGTGATTTTTCCGAAAGCCATATTGATGCCGGATGAAAAGTTTGTTCTCTTCCATGTAATCAGTGAGTTGCTTGCCGACAAAGTATTCTATAAGTTTTCCTACAAGTGGAAGGATGGATATTGGCCTGTAATTATTAGGATCATCTTTCATTCCTGCCTTATGGATGGGAGTTACTCTAGCTTTTTTACAAAGGGTTGGTACAACACCTGTATTAAGGCTCAAATTGACAATATGGGTCAGTGGCTCAACTATGTGTGGTACAGCTTGCTTAAGTAAAAATAGAGGCACATCGTCATATGAGGCCTTGTCATTCTTGAGCGTTTCGACATACATTAGGATATCAGTTTCATTTATTTCTTGGAATCTATCAAATGAGATGTTAGAAGTTCTAGGAGGTAAAAAATCAGTAAAACTAACTCTTTCAATACTGGGGGCCTGATTTTGTAATCTTGATCCAACATTTGCAAAATGAAAGTTAAATAGCTCAGGATCATTCTCATTGATAGTTTGACAATTAGTTGTACCAGGGGTCATATTTGATGCCAGTTTGATAGTTTTCCATACCCCTTTAAGATCATTCTTGGCACTTTTAACTTGTAGATCATCGATTACATTAGCCTTTTTGCAGGTTTTAGCTAATTTATTTCTAATATTTCTCTGAATCTTGTAGCAATCCCAGGCCTCATTACACTTTATACATTTGCTACATATACCACATTTATTGCAATTTCCATTGTCTCTCTTATCCTTCTTTTTACGGAATTTCTTTAGAAGAAAATGTGTATGATTAATGGCATTTAAAAGTTCAGTAGAAGGTTTATGTATGAACTTTTCATGCCTTTCTATGGTCTTGCAAGGGAAGAAGGTTGCATATGCCTGTTCAATATGATGACAAAGGCCAGCAGTGATAGCTTCAACATCTGTACTTTCCAATAGTGGACTGTAATCAGAACAGGTATCTAGATAGTCTAAGAATTGTTTAACATTACGTTTACAATGATTTCTAATTTCAACCTTTTCAAATTTAGGAGCTATAGGTACTTTACAATCTATCTCACACATAATAGCTTGATGATCCCCAATACGTTCATCAAGAACAGAAGATTGAACAAAATCTGCATAACAGTTAGTGAATATTACATCAATAGTAGTCTGGGTAAAATTGTCTCCACGTTTAGCAACTCTAGTTATCCCTTGAATGGTTTGAACTAGATTGTAACATCTCAAGGTCATATCTAATTTTTTGTACTGGGTTGATGAGATATTATTCTGGTCAATGTTTATATCCCCAATCCAGATAACCTTTTTCCCGTTCAATTTTTTCATGCAAAAATGAATGTACTCAATAAAGTTATCAACACTGCAATAATTTCCAGAGCGATAGAAGCAGCAAACATTGATCTTGCTATTCTTAAGCTTCACCCATAATGCTTCAATGTTATCAAGCTTACTATCCATAACTAATTCTGTGTAAGCTAGTTTTTTGTTTATCATTAAGCCACAACCACCCCTAGAACTGTTTGGCCTGTCGCATCGCATAATGTTGAAGGAGGAAGGAATATTTATGGTGTCTGTGTCAATAGTATCATTAAGATTCATCTCATTTAGGGAAAGTATGTCTAGCTTATGATCTCGAATGAGTTGAGTAAGTTCATTACTTTTAGCTAAATTTAGGAGACCACCTTGAATGTTACAGTGACCAATGCAAAGGTTATGAAATTTGTCAGCTGAGTTGTGAATATTTGTCATTTCACAAAACGTGTTAGTCGTTGTGTCTGATTAAACTAAAATCAGGTGAAAATTATCCGCCTGTAAATATTTTCAATAGAAAAGTTTTAAACTTGAAATCAAAATAAATATTCAGGTGGAAATGTCATGTCGATTTCAATGGTGAGCATGGTACTTGATGTGCTTTGCTAGTTTAAAGATACCATCGCTGTTTAGATGCACATTGTCTTCCCCAAATCTACTAAAACAAGATGATTTCCTAAATCCAGATCTATCACTAAACAAAAATCGATTCATCTCTGTGGGTATAAAGCTAACAAACGAGTATTTGGAAGGAATCTTAGATAAAAAGATATTGATGTCATTTATCACTTTATTTCTAGCAAAACTTTCTCTTGGTAAAATGTTTATGATCTTAATTTTTGCAGCTGGAGCCCACGAGTGAAGTGACTGGATCAGATTATCAATAGAGCGATTGGTGTTATCAAGGGCCTTTGCTTTTCCTGTGAACTCATCGGGTGACAATAATCTATTCCTCATGTGTCGAGGACTCTCTAGGATTAAGTCCACATCATTAGTTCCACACATGAGTACGATGGTCTTCACATTATTTGCATCAATTGACCTCTTTCTTTCATCTGAGTGGAAGCGTTCATTGATACCGTTTGCAATGCCACCAGGATAGTGAAATACATGTGCTTCTTGATGAGCAGAGGATAGTTTTGTAGCATCTAACTTGGAGAACATGCTTGAGCTAACATACACAGCAAGGGATTTGCTTTTGACTGAAGCAGGGGATACGGTGCTCTTATGAGTGATTTTGTTGGGTGATGATTTCCCTTTGATTGAGGGTTCAGTTTCTCCTACAGTAACGAAAGGCTTACTTGAGGTATCGGGTGGAGCAGACAAGGTTGCACTGCCATCAATCTGGCGCAGAGTAATGCTAATTCTCATGTCATCAGTATGGTCCTGAATAAGGCTGTGTTCAAAGCTGTCCTGAGATTTTCTGGTCATAATCATTATGTCGCCATGGGAGAGAGTAAGATTGGCAACGTGGACTTTGCTTTTAGACCTAAAACTGAGGACTCTTGTTGCTCCTAACGATATGGTGGAAATCATGGAGCCTGGTGATATGGACCTCTCATCATCTGAATGGAATGGTATTCCTTGCTTGCCATTTTCATACTTAGTGATCATGGCGCTGTTAAATATCAGACTTGGGAACTGTGAGCGTAAACGTTCTAAAATAGACTTTAATAAGGGATTGTCATTTAACGGCCTTGTGTTATGGAAGCCTCCATTGTAGGCATATGGGAAATCCCCATAGTATGCTACAGCCCTATTGTTAAACGTTTGTGTGTATTGTGTTTCCATATCCAACTTGAGAGTATCAACAAACCTGAATACACCTCGACTCAAATCATGATATGGATTGATGGACTTACCCACAACGTTAACACTGGTTGAAGATTGTTTGTTAACATCAGAAGAATTCACAAGAGATGGGTTGCTATTAAGTTCAGTCACACTGCTAACTTCACAGTTTTGAGTTTCTGATTCATGTTCAGAGATAAGAACATTGTCCCCGCAAGAGAATGGAACCGCAATTTTGTCATGGCCTGAGCCTTGGGTAAGTTTGGTTAGACGAGCAATTTGTCTCCTCAAATTGTCGTTTTCAAGACTTAGTGATACACAGGTAGAACATTTTGCTTTTGCACTGTTAGGTCTGTCACGAAGGCTGTAATTTCTGATTGGGATACCGGACATAGTTCAAATAAACACAATAATGCAAAGAATTCAGGATAGAGTCTAAAACCGATGCTACTGTTTATAGTTATTTAGTTGTTGATTACAGTACCTTTGCAGCAATTCAGAAGATGGGAATGAGTGGTGTCTGATATTCTTTAGGTGATAGATGGGTGATAGGTGATAGATGGGAGTTAACAGCTCTTAAAAACGATGTCTGATAGTCTTTAGGATGTCTTTAAATAAACTATCGTGCAACAACCATTTACATCGACATACAACCTGTAATGGTTGCTACATTTGATTGAGGTGTTAATTCCCACTAGGGGTCCTCAAATTATTTGTTATATAGTAGTGTTGAAAGTATTAAAAATAAAATCAACGATTTAATGTTAGGAAGGTAAAATTAATTCCCTGGTTTCTTAAGTCAGCTTTATAGTCGGAAAATAAAAGTATGTAGCGTCGATACCAAAACGATTATTGAGCGATGATAGCTAAATAGTTGGTTCCTGGGATGACGTATATGGTGGTCATATCACTCCTTACCCAAAGTCTGGCAGCCGTTTAGTCCTGATGAACCCATTGTGATCGGTGTGCACAGGATTTGTAGTTGGTCGGTGGCAAAACATATTTTTTGTGCCGCCCCCTGCTGAATTTTTTGGCTGCCCATCTAAAAATTTGCTAATTAAGTCAGTAAGTAAGCCAGTAAAAATTATGACATCACATCATCAGTTCATCACACATGTCTACAAAGTATCATCACATTATATGAAAAAATATATAAATATTTCTTCAACATTAATAATTTATCGAATACAATTCAATGAAATATCATGCACGTGATACCCTCCAATGCTTCACTGGAATGAAAGTTGATCACTGAAGCTATTTTAAGACTGCAATATCCCAAGGTTATGTAGAACTGTTTTAGCGAGATACAAAAAAGTCTGCAACAATGCAAATGTCTACTGTCGATGAGCATGAAACAGGTATGAAGTAAACACTAAACAGTCAATTACAACCCTGGCGCGTGGGGACACGTTTTTGCTAGTAGTTTGCGACATTATTTTACGGGTATCGAATCTCGCGACTTCAACGAAGTCCTGGGGACACGTTTTCAATAATTGATAATATTTTCAGCCCCTATCGTTTTAAGCATCGTTAGGGCTTTCCCAGAAACTAACTCTCATCATCCTAGGATAATCGTGTGTCGCACAGCACCTCTTTCAGTAACGAGAGTAGTCGCATGCAGTCCAGAATGACGTGTACGTTTCGGTCACCTGTGGAAAAAGGAAGTGAGATATCAAAAATCTGAGAAAAACCCGTTGGATAAAAGCCTTTCAGGTAGATGCTAGTCAAGATTTCATCTCTTTAGACCTTAAGATGGCTTCTAACACCTCGTCAAAAGTTTTTAAAAGTAAATTTTACTCGCGACTATCAAAAAGCAACAAAAACGTGTCCCCAATTTGCTTTTTTGAGCGCGCCAAGATCAGCGCACCGAGCTGATCTAGCTACTATGAACAGGCACACAAAAATATCAGTGAATATAAGTGATTTCGGTTATTGGAGTAATTTCATCAGAGCAGTCACATTTTTGATGGTGATTAATACTTTAATAACATTCCACAACAAGGCAACCATTAACTATGTAGTGTGTACCGTGTGCAGTGTGAAGTATAATATAGAGTTGGCATGAAGTTAACAGTTTACTTATCACGAAGTTTAATTAGAAGATAAGGAAAATATTGTATTGTTATCTGTCAAAGGAATTTAATGTATTCTAACAACTTGTTCTTATAATAACTAATCGATGAACCACATACAGGGTTGGTGTGAGTGTAAGAATTTGTGTGAGAAGATATATAGAGAAGCAAAATTCAACATCACTGGATACGGCCATACTCGGTTGAATACACCCCATCTCGTTTGATCTGGGAAGTTAAGCAACTGCAGGCCGGGTTAGTACTTGGATGGGTGACCGCCTGGGAATTCCCGGTGCCGTATCCTTTTGTTATATTTTCGAAGAATTGCTTTACTGAACAGAAGAATTGTGTATGGCTTTTACAGAATTGCAGTGATTATTAATAATATCATTTTATCCTAAGCAATATAGTCTATGTTCAAACGGAAGGAAATATTTCCAAATGTCAGAATAACATTGCTTAGAATAGTATAGCTACTAAGTTTTGTCTGAAAAGGGCTTTTTTGTTTCATTCTAAGATCTATCTTAAACATTCTGCTTAAAATTAACTAGAATGTATTCTTAAGTTAACTTGAAGAGTACTGCAAGGTATCCTGCAGTTACCTTGAAAAGTACTACAAGGTATCCTGAACTTAATTTGAAGAGTACTACAAGGTATCCTGAAGTTAACTTGGAGAGTACTGCAAAGTATCCTGTAGATAACTCGAAGAGTACTGCAAGGTATCCTGAAGTTAACTTGAAGAGTCCTACAAGGTATCCTGAAGTTAACTTGAAGAGTACTGCAAGGTATCCTGAAGTTAACTTGAAGAGTACTACAAGGTATCCTGGAGTTAACTTAAAAAGTACTACAATATGCAATGTATCCTGAAGTTAACTTGAAGAGTATAACTGCAAGCTGCAAGGTATCTTGAAATAAACTTGAAGAGTACTACAATTAGGTATCCTGGAGTTAACTTAAAAAGTGATACAAGGTATCCTGAAGTTAACTTAAAAAGCACTACAATGCAATGTATCCTGAAGTTAACTTGAAGAGTATAACTGCAAAGTGCAAGGTATCTTGAAATTAACTTGAAGAGTTCTGCAAGGTATCCTGTAGATAACTCGAAGAGTACTGCAAGGTATCCTGAATTTAACTTGAAGAATACTACAAGGTATCCTGAAGTTAACTTAAAAAGTGATACAAGATATCCTGAAGTTAACTTAAAAAGTACTACAATGCAATGTATCCTGAAGTTAACTTGAAGAGTATAACTGCAAGGTATCTTGAAATTAACTTGAAGAGTACTACAAGGTATCCTGAAGTTAACTTGAAGAGTACTACAATTAAGGTATCCTGAAGTTAACTTGAAGAGTACTACAAGGTTTCCTGAAGTTAACTTGAAGAGTACTACAAGGTATCCTGTAGATAACTCGAAGAGTACTGCAAGGTATCCTGAAGTTAACTTGAAGAGTACTACAAGGTATCCTGGAGTTAACTTAAAAAGTGATACAAGATATCCTGAAGTTAACTTAAAAAGTACTACAATGCAATGTATCCTGAAGTTAACTTGAAGAGTATAACTGCAAGGTATCTTGAAATTAACTTGAAGAGTACTACAAGGTATCCTGAAGTTAACTTGAAGAGTACTACAATTAAGGTATCCCGAAGTTAACTTGAAGAGTACTACAAGGTATCCTGAAGTTAACTTGAAGAGTACTGCAAGGTATCCTGAAGTTAACTTGAAGAGTACTGCAAGGTATCCTGAAGTTAACTTGAAGAGTACTACAATTAAGGTATCCTGAAGTTAACTTGAAGAGTACTACAAGGTTTCCTGAAGTTAACTTGAAGAGTACTACAAGGTATCCTGTAGATAACTCGAAGAGTACTGCAAGGTATCCTGAAATTAACTTGAGGAGTACTGCAAGGTATCCTGAAGTTAACTTGAAGAGTACTGCAAGATATCCTGAAGTTAACTTGAAGAGTACTGCAAGGTATCCTGAAGTTAACTTGAAGAGTACTACAAGATATCCTGAAGTTAACTTGAGGAGTACTGCAAGGTATCCTGAAGTTAACTTGAAGAGTACTACAAGGTATCCTGGAGTTAACTTAAAAAGTGATACAAGGTATCCTGAAGTTAACTTAAAAAGTACTACAATGCAATGTATCCTAAAGTTAACTTGAAGAGTATAACTGCAAGGTATCTTGAAATTAACTTGAAGAGTACTACAAGGTATCCTGAAGTTAACTTGAAGAGTACTACAAGGTATCCTGAAGTTAACTTGAAGAGTACTACAAGGTATCCTGAAGTTAACTTTAAAGAGAACTACAAGTTACCTTCAAATTATCCTCTATTATATACTTAATTAAACCTATAACAACCTCTATGTTGTTGTTATTGTGGTAGCCTGCACGCAAACTTGGATTAAATTATGATAAAGCTGATCTGATCCTGAAGTTAACTGACAGAAAGCATGAAGTTGACCTAAAATTAGATATGTGTCGTCTTCCAATTATATCGGTCCCGATATATTTGAAATTTTATCGCCTCTCGGATTTGCAGTATAACTTGCAAGTTAACTTTAGAATACATTCTAGTTAATTTTAGGACACCTTGTACTTTGTAGTACTCTTCAAGTTAACTTCAGGATACCTTGTAGTACTCTTCAAGGTAACTTCAGGATATCTTGTATCACTTTTTAAGTTAACTTCAGGATATCTTGTAGTACTCTTCAAGTTAACTTCAGGATACCTTGTAGTACTATTCAAGTTAACTTCAGAATATCTTGTAGTATTCTTCAAGGTAACTCCAGGATACCTTGCAGTACTCTTCAAGGTAACTTCAGGATACCTTGCAGTACTCTTCAAGTTAACTTCAGGATACCTTGCAGTACTCCTCGAGTTATCTACAGGATACTTTGCAGTACTCTCCAAGTTAACTTCAGGATACCTTGTAGCACTCTTCGAGTTAACTTCAGGATACCTTGCAGTACTCTTCGAGTTATCTACAGGATACTTTGCAGTACTCTCCAAGTTAACTTCAGGATACCTTGTAGTACTCTTCAAGTTAACTTCAGGATACCTTGTAGTACTTTTCAAGGTAACTCCAGGATACCTTGCAGTACTCTTCAAGTTAACTTAAGAATACATTCTAGTTAATTTTAAGCAGAATGTTTAAGATAGATCTTATAATGAAACAAAAAAGCCCTTTTCAGACAAAACTTAGTAGCTATACTATTCTAAGCAATGTTATTCTGACATTTGGAAATATTTCCTTCCGTTTGAACATAGACTATATTGCTTAGGATAAAATGATATTATTAATAATCACTGCAATTCTGTAAAAGCCATACACAATTCTTCTGTTCAGTAAAGCAATTCTTCGAAAATATAACAAAAGGATACGGCACCGGGAATTCCCAGGCGGTCACCCATCCAAGTACTAACCCGGCCTGCAGTTGCTTAACTTCCCAGATCAAACGAGATGGGGTGTATTCAACCGAGTATGGCCGTATCCAGTGATGTTGAATTTTGCTTCTCTATATATCTTCTCACACAAATTCTTACACTCACACCAACCCTGTATGTGGTTCATCGAT